TCACCTCCCGCCTGTACCTCGTCAGCCTGCTCATGATGGGCCTGCACTACTGATCGTCCTCTTTCTTCTTGGTGCTCTTCTCCCCCTTCTCGCCAATCCTCTCTAGGGGCCTCGACGCTTCTCTCTCTCGAGCGCACCACGGGGAGCTGGACCTATTTTGCGCTCGGCGCCCACGCGGCGCAGGTACATGACAATGGCCTCCTCCAGATTCTTGACGGTGCTGTCGACCGCGAAGGTCAAGCGCACACGCTCGTCCTTGGACTCTACCTTCCTCGTCGGGCGCAGACGGCAATGGCGAACGTGTTCGCCAACACGCCCGAGGGGCATGGGTACGAGCACCTCCTTCCAGTAGGCCTCCACCGTCTTGCGGACCTCCACGGGGCAGTTGGCGTCCTCGCCGATGGCGCGGATGATGCTGCTCCAGACCTGGATGTACGGCGGGCCCAGCGTCTCGAGCTCCTCCTTGGCCTCCTTGCGGCGCTGCACCTCTGCGTGGTAGTGCTGGCCCGCAAGACGCCCCGCCTTGGCGATCGGCAGGTCGGCCTTGACGAGAAAAGTGATGTAGACGACCCCGCACACGTCCCTGAGCTCACCGCTGTTGACCTGGCTCAGCTTGGCAAGGATAACCACGAGCTGGTGCAGAATGTCGCCTCCTTTGGCCCGCGCCCGCGCCCGAGGAGGAGGAGGAGGAGGAGGAGGAGGAGGAGGAGGAGGAGGAGGAGGCGACAGGCGATGTGTGAGGGGGAAGAAGGGGGGAATGGAGGCTTTTCAGCAGTCTCGTGGGTCTCCCGGGGGCCCCGCCGTGCCTCGGGGCCGTGCAGAGTTCTAAGTTCTCCTCTCGAGGGTTTTGGGATTTTTTTTTTCGGCCTCGGGAGGGCCCCGCCGGGCCTCGGGGCCGTCGATCGGGCCGAACGAAGGGGGGGATAGGGAGAGGGGGGGCTACGAAATCTGCTGCGTGCAGATGGTTTCGGCCCCGCCGCCAGGCCCATTCTTCGATACATGGGCGCCTCCCGGCGCCGGGAGGCGCCGGGAGAATCTGCTTCGTGAGCTGGTTCTCAAATCCCTCTTGCGATCCCCCCCTTTCGCCCGGCCCGAGTTTTGGGAGTTTTTTTTGAGCCTCTGGAGGGCCCAGCCGGGCCTCGGGGCCGTCGAGACACGACCCATGATGAAGAACTGGTCCCGGGGAAAGGGTCCTGACCTTTGGGGGCCGACGCTGCGAACAGAATCACGACGTCAGAGTTCTGGGTCCGTCGCCGTTCGGCCCGTCGGTCGTTCGGTCTGACGGCTGGACGGTCGGTCGGTCGGTCGTCGCCTTCGTCGTCGTCCGTCGCCCCACTCCACCCTCCTAGCCCTAGAAAGTCATCAGTACCCCGTCCTCCCCCTCCCTCATCACATAAATCATAATAGCGTTTCCAGCACTGGTGCTGGGGCGGAGCCGCAGAGGCCCCTGAACGAAGATCCCTCTGGGCGGGCAGGAGGAGCCGGAGGAGGGATCCGACGACAGGCGCTCCCAGCCGATTCCCTCGCCGGGCTCCCCCAGGACATCCCAGGAGATTCCCTCGCCGGGCGCTCATGGCCTTTCGATTTTCCTCGTTCGGGTAGGTTCCAGGTGAGCGTCGGAAAGACTTGCTTATTTAATCGCTTCGCTCATTCCGCTGGCCCATAATGTCGCACCGTGGTCGCCTGTCCGAGTGGGCGTTTGCAGTGTGGAGCTGCGGCGTCGGGAGCTGTGTAGTTGTCGATAAATTTGTTGTTTTTCCCAACCATCCTGTGGTGTTGGGTCCTCGTTTTGAAGAGACGGTGCCCCGCGTTCCTCTCCTCTCCTCTCCTCTCCTCTCCTCTCCTCTCCTCTCCTCTCCTCTCCTCTCCTCTCCTCTCCTCCTCCTCCCCTCCTCTCTCCTCTCCTCTCTCCTCTTCACCCACCCAGTACACCGTTTCGTGGCTCCATAGGGAGCTCCACCGAAGGCCCCAGTGCCCGCGCCCGCATGCGTCACCCACACCCATTTCGGCACACCCCTCACACGTTTCGTGGCTCCATAGGGAGCTCCACCGAAGGCCCCAGTGCCCGCGCCCGCATGCGTCACCCACACCCATTTCGGCACACCCCTCACACGTTTCGTGGCTCCATAGGGAGCTCCACCGAAGGCCCCAGTGCCCGCGCCCGCATGCGTCACCCACACCCATTTCGGCACACCCCTCACACGTTTCGTGGCTCCATAGGGAGCTCCACCGAAGGCCCCAGTGCCCGCGCCCGCATGCGGACACCCATTTCGGCTCACACGTTTCGTGGCTCCAAGGCTCCCCGAGTGCCCGCGGCCGCATGCGTCCCCCACACCCATTTCGGCACACCCCTCACACGTTTCGTGGCTCCATAGGGAGCTCCACCGAAGGCCCCAGTGCCCGCGCCCGCATGCGTCACCCACACCCATTTCGGCACACCCCTCACACGTTTCGTGGCTCCATAGGGAGCTCCACCGAAGGCCCCAGTGCCCGCGCCCGC